GCCTCTCCTGTTGCGGAGCACAGGCTCCGGACGCACAGGCTCAGGGGCCATGGCTCACGGGCCCAGCCGCTCCGTGGCATGTGGGATCTTCCCGGACCGGGGCATGAACCCGTGTCTCCTGCATCTGCAGGTGGACTCTCAACCACTGCGCCACCAGGGAAGACCAACAACTCAGTTTTAAAACCAGAAATCGAAAGTAGAAGCCTTACTGTGTAAAATTGTCCTGTGTAGATTTGTGCCTAGATCTTGTTATAGTTTGCAGAAAAGAATTAGATTAACCTTTTTATTTTTCTTTTAGGTAATTTTGTGAGAAAAATGTTAGAGCCTGCTTTTCACTTAATTGCTAGTGAAGATGATGATATGACTCCAGAGACAATGGGCCATGAATTTTCCCATTTTTCTGAAACACCAGTTAAACAAGGAATTTCCTTTAGCAAAAAGTCCACAGATAAGGATATGGGAGAGATCTGGACAACGAATTCAAAGAAACTGGAGAGGCTGGGGTCAGCTAAGCAAAGCAGTCCTGATCTTTCATTTTTAATTGTGAAGAACAACGTAGGAGAAAAGCATCTTTTTGTAGATCTAGGTAAGTAGAATTGACAGCTCTCTGTTGGACTGTCCTTGTGTACTTCCGTGAGAGACCAGTCGGTGCCCACCTGTCACTTTGCTTAGGATTCTTACTACCACCACTGCTCCACAACGACTGGGGTCACTAGCAGAATGTGATCAGTGAGCTCAGGTGCAGGAAATCTAGTAGGTTTCTGTTAGGAGATCTTAAAGGGGTGCTGTGGGACATAAGCAGCAGGCTGGCCTGAGCTCCAGAAGAGAATGGTTGTGGCTGGCTCCTGCTCTGAAATGTTCACAGGATTCATGACAGGGGACAGTTGGATAGCAGTCTCCAATGCTACTGACAGGTTTAATTAGATGAAATAAATTGTAAAAATAGGTACAATGTAAAAATGGAGCTATTAGGTGGCAAAGTAAGCCTGACGTTTTCTGCATTGAAGAGCTTTGCAGGGTTATTTCATCAACTTCCTACTATGATAAAACTGGTGGCTTCTTCAGCTGTGCTCTCTTCTGCCCTGCTTGCTTCTGGTCTCTGAATCTGAGGATATATGAAGCACTGGCACAGGACCTCAGCCTGTTTAGGTAACACACAGGCCAATCAGGACCCCTAATTCAGCTGAGCTCCAATTTGGTGAACTAAACCTCATTTTTATGTTGAGTTCTAGCTTGTGATTTGAAAAGCCATAAGAGCAGCATTTTTGCCATTGATGGTTAGAGCAACTCAGAGAGCTTCAGTGTCTACAAGTTGAAGAAAAGTAGGTTTAAGCTCTAAGCAAGATTACCAGGCCAATCAGGCTGAGAATAGGAAGTGTTCCTGCTGTATTGCATATCTTTCTAGCACCCCTGACAACCAAGTATAAGAATTTGGAAATAAAACAGGCATTCCTTGTTTTATGACACTTCACAGATATTGTTTTTTTTACAAATTAAAAGTTTGTGACAGCCCTGAGTCAACCATTGATATCGCAATTTTTCCAACAGCATTTGCTCACTTTGTGTCTCTGTTTCACATTTGGTAATTCTTGAAATATTTTCTACTTTTTCATTATTATTTGTTTTGATGATCTATGATTAGTGATCTTTGATGTTACTACGATGACTCGCTGAAGCCTCAGCTGGTGGTTAGCACTTTTCTAGTTATAAAGTATTTCTTAAGGTATGTATATTTTTAAAGACTGCTGTTATACCCTTAATAGACTATAATGTAATATAAACATAACTTTTATAAGCACTGGGAAGCGAAAAAATTCATGTGACTTTATTCTGATATTTGCTTTTATTGTGGTGTTCTGGAACTGAACCCACAGTAGCTCTGAAGTATGCCTGCAGCTTTCAGTGTACTGGTCTTTCACCTCTTTGGTTAAATTTATTCCTAGATACTTTATTCTTTTTGATGCAATTGTAAGTGAGATTGTTTTCTTATTTTCTCTTTCAATAGTTTGTTATTAGTGTATAGAAACACCACAGATTTCTGTATATTGATTTTGTATCCTGCAGCTTTACTGAATTCATTTATTCAGACATTTTTTTGGTAGAGTCTTTAGGGTTTTCTACATATAGATGATCCCTGACTTAATGATGGTTTGACCTACCACTTTTTTTTCCCCACTTACAATCTTTTGACTTTACAGTGTGGTGTAACAGTAATGTGTTCAGTGGAAACCGTACTTCACATTTTCAGTTTTGATGTCTTCTGGTCTAGTGATATGTGGTATAATACCCTCTTGTGATGCTGGGCAGTGACAGTGAGCTGCAGCTCACGGTCAGCCATGCAGTCCGGTGATAAGATCAGTCAGGATCATTTTGTATCCAGACAACCATTCTGTTCTTTTTACATTCAATATACTATTCAATAAATTACATGAGGTATTCAGTGCTTTATTACAGAATAGGCTTTGCGTTAGATGATTTTGCCCAACTGTAGGCTAATGTAAGTGTTCTGAGCACATTTAATGTAGGCTAGGCTAAGCTATGATATTCAGTAGGTTAGGTGTATTAAATGCGTTTTTAACTTATTTGTTGGGATGTAACCAGTTGTTAGTTGAGGCAGACCTGTATAATATCAAGTATACAATATATCTGCAAACAATGACGGTTTTACTTCTTCCTTTACAATTTGGATGCCTTTTTTCTTTCTTTTCTTGCCCAAGTGCTGTGGTTAGGACTTCCAATACTACATTGAATAAAAATGACGAGAGTGTGCGTCCTTGTCTTGTTCCTGATCTTAGAGGAAAAGCTTTCAGTTTTTCACTGCTGAGTATTTCTAGTTGTGGACTTGTCATATGTGGCCTTTATGTTGAGGTATGTTTCCTCTGTATCCACTTTATTGAAAGTTTTTATCATAAGTGGATGTCGAATTTTGTCAAATGCTTTTTCTGCATCTGTTGAGATGATCATATGATTTTTATCCTTCATTTGTTTATGTGTTGTTACATCACATTGATTTGTGGATGTTGGACTGTCCTTGCATCCCTGGAATAAATCCCACTTGGTCATGATGTATGATCCTTTTAATGTAGTGTTCAAGTTGGTTTGCTAATATTTTGTTGAGGAGTTTTTGATCTATGTTCATCAGTGATATTGGCCTGTAGTTTTCTTTTTTTATGGTATCTTTGTCTGGTTTTGCGCTCGGGGAATTTTGGTCTTGTAAAGTAAGTTTGGACGTGTTCCCTCTTCTACTTTTTGTAAGAGTTTGAGAAGGATTGGTATTCTTTGAATCTTTGATAGAATTCACATTTGAAGCCATCTGACCCTAGACTTTGCTTTGTTGGGAGGTTTTTGTTTACTGATTCAGTGTCCTTACTAGTACTTGGTCCATTCAGATTTTCGATTTCTTCATGATTCAGTCTTGGCAGGTTGTATGCTTCTAGGAATTTTTTCATTTACTCTAGCTTGTCCTATTTGTTGGCATATAATTATTCATGGTAGTCTCTTATGATCCTTTGTGTCAGTTGTAACATCTCCTCTTTCATTTCTGATTTTATTTATATGAGTCTGCTCTTTTTCTTGGTGAATCTACCTAAGGTTTATCAATTTTGTTTATCTTTTCAAAGAACCAGCTCTTGGTTTCATTGATCATTTTTTTTTTTAGTCTCTATTTCATTTGTTTCTGCTCTGATCTTTTATTTCTTTCTGTCTACTAACTTTGGGCTTCATTTGGTTTTATTTTTCTAGTTCCTTGATGTATAATTTTAGATTGTTTATTTGAGATTTTTCTTGTTTCTTGAGGTAGGCCTATATCACTGTTAACTTCCCTCTTAGAACTGCTTTTGTTGCATCCTGTACATTTTGGTATGTTGTGTTTCCATTTTCTTTTATCTCAAGGTATTTTTTTATTTCTCCTTTAATTTCTTTGTTGACCCATTGTTTACTCACTAGCTTGTTATTTAATCTCCACATAGAAGTGAATTTTCCAGTTTTCTTCTTTTAATTAATTTTTAGTTTCACACCATTGTGGTCAGAAAAGATGCTTGACGTGATTTCAGTCTTCTTAAATTTGTTAAGACTTGCTTTGTGGCCTAACATATGATCTGTCCTGGAGACGGTTCCATGTGCATTTCAGAAGAATGTGTATTCTGTTGCTTTTGAATGGAATGTTCTGTAAAGTCCATCTGATCTGATGTGTCCTTTAAGCCTAATATTTCCTTACTGATTTTCTTTCTGGATGCTCTATCCATTGAAGTAAGTCGGGTATTAAAGTTTTCTACTATTATTGTATTGCTGTCTATTTCTCCCTTTAGGTTTGTTAATATTTGCTTTATATATTTAGATGCTTCTGTGTTGGGTGTATATAAGTATTTACAAATGTCCTTTTCTTGTATTGACCCCTTTATCAGTTATCATTATGTAATGCTCTTCTTTGTCTCTTATTACAGTCTTTGTTTTAATTCTGTTTTGTCTGATACAAGTATAGCTATTCCAGCTTTCTTTTTGCTTCTATTTGTTCGGAATATCTTTTTTTTTACCCCTTCACTTTCAGCCTGTGTGTATCCTTATGTCTGAAGTGCATCTCTTGTAGGCAGCACATAGATAGGTCTTGTTTTGTTTTTGTTTTTTAAAGGAAAGCCAACGTTGGGGGAAGGTGTGGAATCTTTTCTTTTTTTTAATTTATTTTTATTTTTGGTTGTGTTGGGTCTTCGTTTCTGTGCGAGGACTTTCTCTAGTTGTGGCAGGCGGGGGCCACTCTTCATCGCAGTGCACGGGCCTCTCACTATCGTGGCCTCTCGTTGCGGAGCACAGGCTCCAGATGCGCAGGCTCAGTAGTTGTGGCTCGCGGGCTTGGTTGCTCTGCGGCATGTGGGATCTTTCCAGACCAGGGCTCGAACCCGTGTTGCCTGCATTAGCAGGCAGATTCTCAACCACTGTGCCACCAGGGAAGCCTGGTCTTGTTTTTTTATTCATTTAGCCACTCTGTATCTTTTGATTGGAGAATTTAGTCCATTTACACTTAATTATTGATAGATATGTACTTATTGCCATATTGTTAATAGTTTTCTGCTGTTTTGTAGTTCCTCTGTTCCCTTCTACTTTTCTTGCTCTCTCCCTTTGTGGTTTGATGACTTTTCTAGTGGTATGCTTACTTTCCTTTTGCCATTTTGTGTATTATCTACTATAGATTTTTACTTTGTGGTTACCATGAGGCTTGCATATAACTTATAACAGTCTATTTTAAGTTGATAACAATTATTTAATTTTTTTGGCTGTGTTGGGTCTTCGTTGCTGCGCGCGGGCTTCCTCTAGTTGCAGTGAGTGGGGGCTACTCTTTGTTGTGGTGTGTGGGCTTCTCATTGCGGTGGCTTCTCTTGTTGTGGAGCATGGGCTGTAGGTGTGTGGGCTTCAGTAGCTGTGGCATGTGGGCTCAGTAGTTGTGGCTGATAGGCTCTAGAGTGCAGGCTCAGTAGTTGTGGTGCATGGGCTTAGTTGCTCTGCAGCATGTGGGATCTTCCCAGACCAGGGCTTGAACCCATGTCCCTGCATTGGCAGGGGGATTCTTAACCACTGTGCCATCAGGGAAGTCCCTAGTTTTATAAGTCTTAATCCACTACCTTTACTATATATTTGCCTTTACCAGTGAGATTTATACTGTCATTTTTTTTTTAAAAAAGACTTATTTATTTATTTATGTTTGGCGTGTCAGGTCTTAGTTGTGGCATGCAGGATCTTTGTTGAGGCATGTGGGATCTTTGATTGTGGTGTGTGGGCTTCTCTCTAGTTGTGGTGTGTGGGTTTTCTCTCTCTAGTTGTGGCATACAGGCTCCAGGGCACGTGGGCTCTGTAGTACTGGTGCTCGGGTTCCAGAGCGCCTAGGCTCTATAGTTTGCAGTACGCAGGCTCTCTGTTTGAGGTGCGTGAGCTCAGAAGTTGCAGCACACGTGGGCTTAGTTGCCCTGTGGCATGTGGGTCTTAGTTCCCTGACCAGAGATCGAACCTGCATCCCTGGCATTGGAAGGTGAATTCTTTTTTTTTTTTTTTTTTTTTTTTTTTTTTTTTTTGTTCGGTGCGCGGCCCTCTCACTGATGCGGCCTCTCCTGTTGCGGAGCACAGGCTCCGAACGCACAGGCTCAGCGGCCATGGCTCACGGGCCCAGCCGCTCCGCGGCATGTGGGATCTTCCCGGACCGGGGCACGAACCTTTTTTTGTTTGTTTTGTTTTTTTGTTTTTTTTTTCCTTGCGTTATGCGGGCCTCTCACTGTTGTGGCCTCTCCCATTTGCGGAGCACAGGCTCCGGACGCGCAGGCTCAGTGGCCATGGCTCACGGGCCCAGCCGCTCCGCGGCATGTGGGATCTTCCCGAAACGGGGCACGAACCCGCGTCTCCTGCATCGGCAGGCGGACTCTCAAGCACTGCGCCACCAGGGAAGCCCTGGAAGGTGAATTCTTTACCACTGGACTACCAGGGAAGTCCCCATATATTTTCTTGTTACTAATTAACACCCCTTTTATTTTTTCAGTTTAAGGAAGTCCCTTTAATATTTTTACAAGGCTGGTTTAGTGGTGTGGTGGTGAACTCCTTTAGCCTTTATTTATCTGGGAAACTCTCTCTCCTTCAATTATAAATGATAACTTCAGGTAGAGTATTGTTGGTTGGAAATTTTTTTTTATGTAAGCCAGGTTGAATATATCATACCACTCCCTTCTGGGGTAATAGTCTTATGGGGGTTCCCTTGTATGTAACAAGTTTTTTCTCTTGCTACTTTAAGATTCTCTCCCTTTAACTTTTGGCATTTTAATTATAATGTGTCTTGGTATGGGTCTCTTTGGATTGATCTTATTTGGAACTCTCTGGGCTTCCTGTATCTGTATGTCTGTTTCCTTCCCCAGGTTAGGGGTGTTTTCAGCCATTATTTCTTCAAATAAGTTTTCTGTTCCTTTCTGTCTTTCTCTCTTTTTTTTCCTCTAGGACTCCTTTAATGTGAATGTTAGTCTGCTTGATGTTGTCCCATAAATCCCGTAAGCACTTTTTTTTCCATTCTTTTTTTGCTGCTCTGATTGGGTGAGTTCCTCTGCTGTGTGTTTGAGTTCACTGATCCTTTCTTTTCCTTCATCTAGTCTGCTGTAGAACCCCTCTAGTGTATTTTTCAGTTCACTTACGGTATTCTTCAGTTCTTTGACTTATGTTTGGTACTTTCTTACATTTTCTCTTTGTTGAAGTTCACATCGTGTTCCTCCATTCTTTCCTGAGTTCAGCAAGCATCTTTATGACCATTATTTTGAACTCTTTATCAGGTGAGTTACTTTTCTCCATTTCATTAAGATTTTTTCCCCTGAGGTTTTATCTTGTTCTTTCATTTGGAATATATTCCTCTGTTTCTTCACTTTGCTTGACTCTCTGTGTTGGTTTCTACCCATTAGATGAAACAGCCCCTTCTCCCAGTCTTGAAGGGTTGGCCTTGTGTAGAAGACGAACTTTATCATTCAGTCGTGTCTTAGCTCATGTTGTCACAAACCTCTGTGCTTGTCCAAGCAGCCTATTTTATTTATATATATATATATATATATATATATATATATATAT